AGAGAGAGAGAGAGAGAGAGAGAAAGAGAGAGAAAGAGAGAGAGAAAGAGAGAGAGAGAGAGAGAGAGAGAGAGAGAGAGAGAGAGCGCTAGACGGAAACGGCAGCATCTTGATGGTGGTCTAAGGAAATGCTTGAGGCTACAGTGGATAAGGGAAAGCTAAGCTGCCTGTGTTTAAGCTTAGAATAAACTCTGAGAATTTCCACTGGAAATCTCTCGTAATGCAGTGCATGTTGGGAGCAAGAAGGACCATCGTTTGACAGGTACACTGTTTAAAGCCCAGCAGTTGATCCCGCTTAGACGTTCATGAACCCAAAGGGAATGCTTTCTCCACAGTAAATAGACTACCCACGGTGTCAGGCATAAAGTAAAGGGGGTAAAAGGAATTAGAGAAGTTCTCATAACATACAAAGCAAAGGGAATGAAAGAGAAGTGCTTTCATTTCTTCTTCATTAAGTCATAAGACATCTTTATAAAATTCGTAAATATATGAGCGCTATACTATTACCCGAGACGAAATAGAAGCTAGGAAAAAAAAAATTGAGAATTTTGTAAACACACACAGCGATGGAAACTTCTGTGATGTGATTTCCCTTTGGTTGTCTTAATAGAAATTGTTGATAAAGACGTGCGACATAACGTGTCTTATATCCAAGTTCTACTCAGACTTACTTTTCAAGAGATTTTATTGGCAGCTATGAAGTGATTGATGCAATAGAAAAAGGCCTGGGTATATTAAATAAGTTCATAAACATAAATAGGTGCAATCTTATACAATGAAGAGTTTTTTTTTACTCTTGCTGTTTAAGGTTTTATAAATTCGTTTGCAACGTTTTGTTTTTACGGCATCATACACTATATTCTGGCTATCATCTAGAAAAGGGTGTGATGCTTCCTTTCAGGTGCCCTTCCGAATTTCATTACAGTCCAATGTTTATTTATCAAACACTATCTTTACTTTTATCCGCAAATGGTCTTTTTGTGGGGATGCTGTGTCCCTCACAGCCCGCATTGGTAAGCAATGTGGAAACCCGCCTCCTAAATTATTCTAACTGTAAGAGACACCACAGAATTTCACAAAATTTATGTTTATCAAGTTGAAAATATATACTAAGAAATTACTATGAGGATGGAAAGGTTTCCCTTGCAGGCGAACACTTTACAGTCGTCGTGCATACAAACGTAACATGGCGGCGACGCTGTAGATGAAAACAAAAAGAAACAGGAACGGTAACTCGTGTCGGATAAAAGCTGGGCACCAGGTGTCTGGGGTAGATAAATCTTTGAGGGCAGAAGTGGAATTTACACCGTGAGCATACAAACAGACCAGTGAAAGAATGGTATTGATTTAATGCCCCTATCAACATCATTATGTTAGTTAAGAGGCGGAACTACCAAGTTTAACATCCATCTCTGCAAGGACCGAGACAATAAATAAGAAATTTGTGTAAAGTGCCTTTCCCAAAGACACGTACACCGTCGGACCAAGCAGAGGCTCGAACCCCCGAAACCGCAATCTCCCGATTACGGGTTTGGTAATCTAACCCCGAGTAGCAAAATATTATAAAGAAAAGTAGGTGAAGAGATAAGGACGATAAAAATTTGTCAAGAAAGAAGCAGCACACTACATCGGAGCAGCCACCAAGCCCCCACTCTCGGTGACAGTGAGTGACCTACCTGAAGGTGTTGAGGTACCACAGCGTGGTGGGCTCTGGGTTGCCCGAGACTTGACACTTGAGAGTGATGTCTGTCCCGGCGACCACCTCCTCCTTTTTGGGACGGCGGAGTAAGACGTGGGCTTTGCTGTCGATCCCTGTAGAGGACGAAAGAAAGAAAGAAAAATGTTTAAAATGAAGTGAAATTTCGTATTGATTTCGTATCTCATGTCCAAAATTCGTTAATGGAAATTTGGTTTTGATTGCTTTGGGTGAAAAAAAAAAGGTACACCCATACAATTGTGATTAATCAGTGCCATAGGGTAAAAAGGATAATTAGAAATAATAACAATACAGAACGAGTAAAAAAAGCAGGAACTGCAAGTGGCACCCTTCAATCATCCGCAATGTGGTTTATAATGATATACTTGCAATGTTGAACGGGGAGTTACAAGTATCTCTCTCTCTCTCTCTCTCTTGCTCTCTCTCTCTCTCCCCCTCTCTCTATTTCTTTCTCTCTCCCCCTCTTTCTCTCTCTCTTCCCCGCTCTCCCCCCC